AAAAAAAAAAAAAAAAAAAAAAAAAAAAAGACCCTTAGCCTGACTGGTGTGGCTCAGTAGTTCAGAGCAGGGAAACAGGCCCAGGGAAATAGGGTAAGAGCTTGCCTGAGGTGGCACAGGAAGTAAGTGAAATGCTGGAATCTGAACCCAGGACCATTTGGTCCTGGAGGGGGACATGACCCAAGAGGTCATTGGTTCAATTCCCGGTCAGGGCACAAGCTTGATCTCCAGTAGGGGTGTGCGGGAGGGCAGCCAATTGATGTCTCTCTCTCATGGATGTTTCCATCTCTCTATCCATCTCTCTCTCTCAAATAAATAAAAACATAAAAAAAGACCCTTAGGCAAATGCACAGGGTCACCATGCTGCTAGGAGCAAGGCTTCTTGAGGCCCCGTGAGATTGTAGGGGAGTAGTTGGAAGAAACTTCGACGAGCTGCGCCCTAGGAAGGGGGCCCGTGGGCGGAGGCCTCAGGGGTCCTGCAGAGTGAAGATCCTGGTTGAGGCTGTCCTCCCTGACCTCACCCCAGGGGCTCCGCAGACCTGGGGGAAGGTCTGCACCATGTCGAAGAGAAAACCAGAAGCCTAGAAAGAGCTAGCACGGGCTTCCTGCTTTGGGTTTTGATCCCATTACTGACCGGGTCATGTCCCTTCCCCTCCGGCACCGCGGTATGCTGAGGACTAGGTGTTATGGGACAAAGTGCCATCTGCTGTATGTGGCCAGGCCAGCTCCCTGCCCCTCGGGGCTGGATCCCAGGGCAGGAGTCTCCGGTCGCCCCGACTGCACTGAGGCGAACTTTGTCATAGTGAGGAGCAGACTAACTAATTGTCCTGTGGCTGCTGACTCACCTCTAAAGGAGGGGACAAAAGAGAACAAAAGAGGTGGGAGGTCAGGTCCAAGATCACCCAGCGAAAGGATGCCAGGACAAGCTGCATCCAGCCAACATTAAAGTGCCCTGGATTTTGCTCCCACCGTGGATGCCAGCACCTGCCACCATCACCAGTGCCCAACTCCAACACATCTCCGCGGTCAGCCTACCAGCCCATCATCTCCACCCCATGGCCAGCACCACCGCCAGCTCCATCTGCCCCTCGACCCTTGTCATCGCAAACATTACCAAGGTGTCTCTCCACACCTCATCACCACCACCATCACCACTTCCCGCCCCACAGCCATCCCTACCTTAGCTGTTTGTGTCCCCAGCCCTGCCTCCGCCACCAGCTCAAGGACCAGCTTGGGGACCATCTCAATCTCTACACTTGACCCGACTCCATCATTCCAGCACCTTCCACAGCAGGGCCTCCGTCTCACTGAGGACTGTGGCTCAGCACACATGACTCTGAGGACTGAAGACTTATTAATTCCTCCCAAGAAGCTGGGCCCCTCTGCACTTTCCAACCTGGCTGAGTGCAGCCCTGCCGTCCAGCATGTGGGCTCTCCCCGGCTATCATCTCTGGGGACCTTGGCAGGCCAGCAGTTTTTACAGCCACTTCCGAGGGGGCACTGGTTAGAGTCTTACTGAAGGGAGTGATCAGAAATACAGTCCTTGGCTTCATCCACACACAGCCCATCCTGTCCCTGACCTCTGGAGTCAGTCGGAGCCCATGGGCGTGGTGACAGGCACAGGAGAGGCACTGGAGCAGCTTTCATGGTGACTACTGGCTGTAGCAGTGATAAAGTGAGATGACCCTGCAAGATGCAGAAGGAAGGGATTTGCATTTGCGGGGCACCTGCGGTGTGTCAGCTGCTGAGCTGGCACATTTTGTTTGTGTTCAACCTCTCCCCTCCCCCCCACCTGTTAGAGTCATCCTTCCCGGCTCACAGATGAGAACACAGGCCGGAGAAGGGCAGGCAACGCCCGGGGAGGCTCTGCTGCTTCTCGGCTCTGTGACTCGAGCACTTGAAACAGGGAGAATAGTGCAGTGGGTGAGGGAATGAGTTCTGTGTCCAATGGACCTGTGCTCAGGGCATGGTCTTGTCATCGATTCTCGGTGTGGCCTCAGGCAAGCCCCTTACTCTCTCAGCCTTGGCTTCATATTGCACCCCAGGAATGAGATTATGCTTCTAATGTGCTTGGATTAGTGCCTGTTACCCAATGGGCTCTGAGCTCTGAAGTCAAGTTCAAGGTCAACCTCAGGCTGGGGCTCTGGACCAGGCTCAGCTACCCTGTTCGCCTCTTTGGTTCCTTCTGACTCCCCTTTACCATGGAAAACCTGGAAAATGGGTGGAGGGTGATGGTGACCTGGGGGAAAACCGCTGAGTGGTGACGATGGGTGGGCCTGGGTCAGACCCACACAGATGCAGGCCCGCTTAAGGAGGAAGGCCTGGGTATAGGTGCTCCTTCTGTGATGTCTCTTCCTCCAGGTCCCTCCAGACGTGATGGCATGGCCATGGCTGTCCTGCCTACTGCTTCCTGCCCTTGTCATGTCTGGTGGGTGTCTCCCTTCCCCTCCCCTAGCAGCACTAACCTGGGGACCCTCAGCAGAACCCTCCAGAAGGGAGGGGCTCCCTCTTCAGTGAATATCCAGCTTCTATGACCCAGCCCCCTGGTTGGCTGCCCTGGGGAAGTCAGGGGAGGAATCCACACCCAGGAGGGTGAGCTGGACTGAAGGTTGGGCTCCCACGGGGCCAAATAGGGGTTCACGCTTCACAGGGGTGTTCCGATATTCCAGTTTTCTGTGTCCCTACAGTGGCAGCCAATGTGGCTCCTACGTTCCTGTCCAACATGACATTAGTGACCCTGCCTGAGGACCTACCCGTGGGTAAGTAACTATCTCCTGTGTCCAGACTGGGCCAGGCCCTTACCCACAAGCGGGTCCCAGGGGCTGCCATGTGGGCTTGCTCCCCACCCTGCAGCTCCAGGGCATGGCATGGGGCAAAGGCGGTCTGAAAAGAGTTTGTTCCAGAAGTTTGTTTTCGCCTCTTCAGCATTTGGGTCAAGGACCCTCCCAAAGCCTCAGGTAAATCCAGACTCACACAAGAATGGTCCTCCTGTTTCCCTTCTCTTTTTGTCTTTCTGGTTTCCCCAAGGAGAAAGCACCCATTGGTCCCAGTATTTCTCTTACACCTCTCGCACTGGCTAATCTCCCTCCACCCCTTCCTTTTTCCCCCCTCAAACAAAGAGAGAGCAGTTTGTGGTTCAGAGCCCCTCACCCCATTGCACCAGAAGTTAACACCTTCACTTTGCTCTTACGGCCTTTGTAGACTTACCTTGTATCTATAGCAAGTGAGATGGGTTTCCCATTTACAATAGTGACCTAACGATTGTTTTCAAAATAAATGCATTTACGTGAAATAGTAAGTTGATTAAAAGAAGGGTCATAAATAATGAGATGTGGAGATGGTGAAGGTCGTGGTGGTGTATAAGAGTGAATGACATTTGGGAAAGATTGTTTCCGGTGATGCCATAAGGTTTGGACACCAAATTCCCAGTGGGTAAGATATGGGCTGGGGAAGCAGAAATGATAGGTGACTGTATTCATTGGGTGAGCTGTGCATAATACACCCCCAAAACAGAGGTGTTAGTAAGGTCGGGGCCTATTATTCTATGACACAGCAGTCTAGAGCTGCAAGGTCAGGGCTGTTCCTCAGGATGTCCGCTGCTCCACCTTCCTTCCCTGGGGTGTGGCCCTCATCTACATGATCTAAGGTGGCTCATACCGCACCTCATTCCAGCCAGCTAGAGGAGAAAGGACCAGCAAGGCCCCTCCCTTTCTCATAGGATTGGCTTCAGGTTTTACACGTTACTTCTGCTCACATCTCAATGGCTACAATGTAGTCACATGCCCACACCTAGCTGCAAGGGAACCTGAGAAATGTGGTCTTTATTCTGGTTGGCTGTGTGCTTTGCTCAAAATCCAGGTTTTTATTACCTTGAGAGAAAGGGGGTGTGGATATTGAGGGACATTTTACAGTCAGCAGAGTCAGAATTGGGATCCTAGGTAGCTAAAGCTACCAGATGAAGCAGAAGACTGCGCCAAAGGAGCCTACCCAGAGTCTACCCTGGGATTCAAAAGCCTCATTATGGGCACAGAGGAAAGGATGGGGGATGTGCATTGCAGCCGTGAAGGCCACGTCCATTTGGGTGTGGTCGCCAGGACAGCAAAGTCTACTAAGGTTTATATTAGAAAAGGTTTAAAGGCCAGGATGAGGGAGGTGATAGTCTCATTCATTACACTCTGAGATGGCACAATCTTCCCCGGAGGACTGGGCTGAGGTTAAACTACTTTAATATTTATTAATGTACTTTGTAGAACAGAGAAGTAACATAGACATGTTAATGATATTTACATATATATTCATAGTTGTTTGGTCATATATAAACACCCCTCCACCCCCACACACCTTCAGATAAATGTTACAAATATATGTAACCCAAATGCCCTCAAGATCTCCTTTCTCCAGGGTAACCAACCCTTTAATATTTAAATTAAACAGCTTGAGTCCCCATCCCAGTTTCAGCTGCTACGCTTGTGAATGTTCTTTTGGAGGTTGTGGCTTAAATATTGTTCCTTTACTGAAGGTCTGGGGAGAAGGGAGGAGATGATAGCACTTGGCAGGAAGCCAGTACTCACTGTCATCAAGGGATGCCCACTCTGGGTCAGGCTCCCTGCCCCCTGCCCGCCTCCTCCACACCCACCCCGGGCTC